GTAAGCCCTGCTTTTTTTTAAAAAAGTGCCATTTCAACCCCTTTATTACCCTTTGTTTTTTGACTTTATTATATATGCATATGTTACATAGCTACACACACACACATATGTACGTTTAACAGCTTTTTCTTAAACTGAGGAAGGCAGAGGGCAGAAGGTAAGTGGCCAACAAACCCTCAGCTTTTTTTTTAAAGTGCCATTTCAACCCCTTTATTACCCTTTGTTTTGGGGTTTCTTTTTTATTATTGTATGTTATATATCTATACACGTGTGAATGTATAAGCTTTTTCTTAAATGAAGTAAAGCAGAGGAGAGAAGCTAAGTGTCTGCCAAGAGAATGCCAACCTTTATATCTATATATATATATATTACACTATATTTTTCTCTCTTTTATATACAAAAAAGCTTTTTATATTTTTATATATACAAGGGAAGGCAGAGGAGAAGATGGTAACTATCTGCCAAGAGAATTCAAACATATATATATATATATACACACACACTTTTTTTTCTCTCTTTTAATCAAAAAAATTCCAATTTGTTGTTGGCAGTAAGGGGGGAATGCAAACGTTTTTTTCTCTCTCTCCTCTCTCTGTCTTAAAAACACAGTGATGTATCTATATTGGAGGTTGCAGTAAGCAAGGAAGCAGCAGCAGTGGTGGTGGTAAGAGTTTGGGGGTGTAAAATGGTGTGTGTATGTGTGTTAAGAGGAGAGAGAGAGTGGTGGAGGGGGGATGTAAATGTTTTTTCTCTTAAAAACACCAATGTGTTTATATTGGATGTTGCAGCAAGCAAGCAGCAGTGTTGTGAGTTTGGGGGTGTAAATGGTGTGTGTTTGTGTGTGTGTGTGTTAAGAGAGGGGGGAGGGAGAGAGATGGGGTGGAGGGGGGGAGAGAGGGAAAGGAAAGGTAGTCTGGCTCTGGGAAATGGGGTATAATCTGGTTTAAAGGCTCCTATTTATCCGCCCCCTCATTGCAGGCCACAGTCATGCCTGACTGCTGTTTACAACATCCCAACTTCAGACCTACCAGACATCAGACCCATATTACCATTTATTTCAGTTTGGTCAGTTATGCCCTCTCCACCCCCTCCCCCCCCCACCACTGGAGTATTTGAGGACAATGAGACTTGATGTGGTGCTGAATTTTGAATAATATTATTCACAAATGATCAGTGGCTTCGAATCCGTCCATAGGTTCCAGATTCTTCTATTCTGTATTTTGATCTGTAGTGTATCTTCAAACCGAACAGTGCAATATGACAAGCGATAGTGTGATTAATGGCATGGAAATTTAACCTGCTAATATGGCAATAGAAATGTCTAGAGTTGGAGGAATTAAATGTCCCAAACACAGACCATTTTATTGTACAGTTCATTAGGATTTCAGGGAGAAAAGGGGAAGTATCTGATTAGACCACTGAATGGTTCAGTCAAGGCCAAAACCATTTAGAATTATTGTATGCCTTTAATCTTTTCATTTTCACAGTAACTTTAACCGAGTAATAATGGTCCTAATATTTAAATAGTACTGTACATTTGTTGCTTTCCTCCAAAAAAAACATTGTACCATGATAAATGTGTAAGCAGAGATTGCTGTACAGTTTATTAAGCTCAGACATGAAGTATATACTGGTAAATGATTAAATGGTTAAATGTGATTGTAGATTTGAAGTGCAGTCCTTACATTTCGCCCACAACATATAGTCAATTCACTTTACAGTATATTCCGTGAAGCGCTTTGAGACATCTCGAAGACTTGATAAGGCGCTACATCAAACGCAAGGATTATTTATTATTTCATTTTTAAAAATATTTGCAAAAATACTGAATGTTAATAGTTTTAGTAATTTTATCCAAAATGTAATGTGCCTCTTCCTAGAACTGTAATATACTTGCGTTGAACTATATAGTATGCACCATATGTTGCCCTTTATTTGATTTTCTACATCTTATTCGATGGGTGATGCATAATACACAGATTCAGGACTTGTTTTTATAATTGTTGAGTGATGTCCTGCTGGCAAATGGGTTATTCATGGTGCTTAAACTGGCTGCTGTTCCCTGAAATATTTACAGATTTTCGTTTTTGTTTTCATAGTGTTTTATTTGAATGTTTCAATTAAATTTACTTCAATTGTCATGGCAATTCAAAAGGTTTTTTATTTTTAAAAAATTACAGAATGTCGTTACTTTCTTCCAGAAAATTTTGAATTTATCTTGAGAATTTGCTTGAATGGGTAATTTTTCTAGTCATAGGAGCCCTTTTGTTAGAATATGGAGAATGAAAATATGCTCAGCCTTCGAAATGTGTAGCGTTACAGAAGTCTATGGCTTTTTCTAGCAGTTTTTTTGAGCAAATCGTGTAATTCATCTGATCAGGCACTATCAAGCTGGGGGTTAAAATTGGCAACATGCGCCTTCACACCATTTTAAAAGAAAATAATTCATATTGTTTGCAAGGGACGAGTAATGGAAAGGTGGTGCTCTTTTAGCATATTATTTATAATGTAATGTTCAGCTAAGTTATTCAAGATCTCTGTGACGTTCCTGATTTTCCTTTTGCTAATGCGTTTCCCCCCCCCCCCCCCCGACATCATTACTTTTGTCTTTCCAGTGCACAGTATTGAAAAGAGAGTAAAATGCAGCATTTGTTTTTAAAATTGAACTTATAATGTGTGAAATGACTTAACGGTATTTATCTGATATGAGTGACGTATATTTTCTAACATTTATCTGCAGCTATCTTGGCCAGTTACCCATTCAGAAATGCAGTAGTGTTTTGCCTGGTTGCTATAGTAATAGAGAGGTAGGGTGGACTTCATTAACCACAAGAATTGGTTTCAAAGGTTTCCTGTAGAAGAGTGAGGTTCGTGCATTTGTAACAAGGAGGTAACGTGCAGCACATTGCTGGAGATTGCATGTTGCGAAACACCGCGGTCGTGGTTAACATTGCTTTTAAGTGATTACGTAGTTACACCATGAAACTTTTTTTCAAAAACCTCTCCTTTTACATACAGTACGGTTTCACGTGATTCGAAACGCTCGTAGCGAGAGACCGCAACCACCCATTGTTTTGTCTTTGATGTCCGGGTATGAGAACCGCCCGCGAGTCAGAAGGTTGCGAGTTCACATCTCACTCTGGCGCTTGGGATCTCGCGGTCTGGGCTGGCAACTCCAGCATGGTGCTGGGGGAGGGGGTGCTGCACTGACAGAAGTGCTGTCCTTCAGCTGAGACATTAAAACAAGGCCCTTATCTGTCTGTTCGAGTGAAGATCGCACGGCACGATTCAAAAAAGTGAAGGGAGTTTTTCCCCGATGTACCAGCCGTCAACCCCCAGATAAAACTGGTTATTCGATGCATGGCTATTTGTGAGACATCGCAGTGTCCAAATTGGCCACCATTGTTTTCAAATACACAGTAAAATCTTGAGTGCTTTGAGATGTCTTGACGACATGAAAAAGCGCTGCATCAAATGGAAGGATTATGATTTATTGCTATGATCCAATCTATGCGTAGCTCCATTTTCAACCCTTGTGATCATTGGAATTTCTTTCGATGTTTTTGCGTGAGTAATAACGATTATCTTAAATTGTGTCGTTCGAAGGTTCTTGTGGGGAACAGTACCTTAAGCAACACATTGAATTCTGCCCAACAATACGTTTAGAAATGGCGACACAACCTCTTTCATCCCATCACACCTGATAACAGGCCGAAGGGTCTGTTCCTTGGTTGACAAATTCAGATTCACTCCAAATTAACCAGTTTTGCTTGAGAGAGAGATTTTGCACAAGTGAAATGTTAATGTTTTCCATGAAAGTGCTCACGAATTCTGATGCTGATGTTACTTATTGGAACGGAAATTTAAAAAAAAACACACGAAAATAGCTTGCCAAAGGTTCGTTGAACCCTTTCTGATGGTGCTGGCAAAAACACCAAAAGCTGTGCCAAATCCAGTGCGAGTGTGCACGCTCGCTGAGCATTTACAAAATTATATTCCTGCTCGGTTTCAAAAAGTTTGACGGAAATTCTAGAAGGATTGGACACCACGATTTGATTTTTAATTGGCGAACCGTACAACTGGTACAGATCTTGTTCTGATTTGTCAGTCGGTGATTTTTTTGGAAAAGTTGTTTTTTTGAAAAGATGTCCCATTTATCTTCTCCCCCTCCCCCACTTAATCTAATCTAATTTGTAATGAATCTGTTTCCCCAGCAGTAAGTAGGAACCCGGTTGTTAGTCGATTGGCGGATTGCTTTTCTGAGAGTAATAATCCCCTTTTTTTAAAAAAATAATAATTTGGTCGCTCAATCCATGACTGTTTGTGGGACACTGCTGTGTGCAATTGGCTGCTGCGTTTCACCCACAAAATATAGAGTCAATTTGAGGCATCTCATACATCAAATGCAAGGATTATTGTTATTGAATCTAAATTGTCTCAATTGCTGCAAGTAGGTTTGTTCTTATGTCTGCTCAAAGTGGCTATTGGAACAAGGAGTTTCAAAGTACAATATAAAGTAACTGGGTTTTCCCTCTTGTTCTTCAAGGCTGCTTTTCTCCCCCTTTAGACCAATCCATAGATTGATATTTTATATCTGTGAAAATAATGGGATTGCAGATGTGGAGAATATATCAAATGCCATATGGAGCATCACACTTGGGTCACTGGAACAATTGGAAACCAATAGGATTGTGGATCTTTGTTCATGTAATCTACGAGAGCTGTGGCCACATCTTACGTAGAAAGATGCATTTTCATTTCCTCTTATTCAGATACACACCAAAAAAAGTCAATAGATTAAAAACACTGAACTGAACATACTGAAACTGGCAAACGAGAAATGTACTCTTTCGAGCACAACATATTCTCTAGCCGTTCAGTCGAAACCTGTAATGTTTTAAAATAGATGTTTGTTGTATGAAATGGAGATTATTTTGTATTCGAAAGTGACAGCACCACAACGACCCACTATTTTTAGCCACATTCAGTGAGTAAAACAA